CGTGCGAGCTCTTGCAAGCACATGTGCATGCACATGCTTTCATGATAAATCTTATAATACAGGCTGTAGATCTCCCTAATATATGACTATGTTCAAAATTTCAAATGATTTTATCAAAAAACAAAAAAGATATTAAGACTTTAGTTTCAGCCAATCAGAGCGAAGCGCACGTGCATGCGCGTGCGATCTTGCTATTTTGACCATGTCATCTTGTGCTTACTACTAATATATCCTTACATTATAAGTTTCAAAACATTTCGTCACAAAATAGAAAAGTTACGATTATATCCATTTTATATTGGTCATTTTAAGTTTTGCACGTGCGCGCTCTTGCAAGCACGTGTGCGCAAAATGACCTTGATTCCGCAAATCTACATAACATGCCTACTTACCCTAAAAAGGTTTCACCTAAGTCGGATGTGTAGTTTACAAGATCACTCGCGGACAAAATTTTCCCAGGAAGAAAAATAATAATAAGAATAAGAATAATAATAATAAGAAACAGAGTAAAAACAATATGTTCCCCAACTTCGTTTGGGGAACATAACTACTGCTAATTGTAACGGGGACCGTTACAGATGTTCCCCAAACGCTCCCCATCTCCCTTTTGGTGCCATATTCCCTGTAAGCTTCATTAAATAAGACGAACTTTATGCATTTGAGACTTTAACAACGTTTACCCAGAAGGGTACCAAGTTCATTCAAATTTTAGCATTGCATGCGTGTGCATGTGAATGCATGTGCGTAATGACCATATCATCTTGTCTACACAATCTTTATACTTTAATATACTAAATATTCAAGTATTTAATCCAAAAGTTTTAAAAAATACGCTCATTCAATTGTATTTTTGATTTTACTCATTTCACGTGCACGCACGTGCATACATGAGCATGGTGACATACCTTCTTTTAGAAGTCCATTACATCTATCTATGTTCTAAATCCCACTCCGTTTGGTTGAAAACCAAGGGAGTTATAGCTGATTAAAGATTCAGCCAATCAGATTGCAGCGTACGTTCACGCACGCGTATGGATGTGCATGGTGATCATACCTTCTAGTAGAAGTCCATTATATCTATCTATGTTCCAAATCTCATCCTGTTTGGTTGATAACCAAGGGAGTAATAGCTATTTAAAGTTTCAGCCAATCAGATTGCAGCGCACGTGCATGCACGTGTTTTCATGAAAATTGTTATATATCTTGTTGTAGGATATCCTAATGCACAGCTATGTTCAAAATTTCAAAGGATTTCATCAAAAAACAAGAAAGATATCGAGACTTAAGTTTAAGCCAATCAGAGCGAAGCGCACGTGCATGCGCATGGGATCTTGCTATTTTGACCAAGACATATTGTTTATGCTACTAATATATCATCACATTATGAGTTTCAAAGCATTTCATCCAAAAATAGAAAAGCTACGGCTATATCTATTATATTGGTCATTTCACGCGTTGCACGTGCACGCTCTTGCAAGCACGTGCGAGCAAAATGACCTTCGTTTCGCAAATCTACATAACATGCCTACTGACCCTAAAAAGGTTTTACCTAAGTCGGATGTATAGTTTACAAGATCACTCCCGAACAAAAAAGTACCCAGGAAGAAGAAGAAAAAAAAATAATAATAATAATAAGAAACAGAGTAAAAACAATATGTTCCCCAACTTCGTTTGGGGAACATAACTAGGGCTAATTGTAACGGGAACCGTTACAGATGTTCCCCAAACGCTCCCCAACTCCCATTTGGTGCCTTACTCCCTGTAAGCTTCATGTTAAATAAGACGAACTCTATGCCTTTTAGACTATAACAATGTTTTCCCAAAAGTATATTCAGTATATTCAAATTTATGCATTGCACGCATGCGCATTTGAATGCATGTGCGTAATGACATTATCATCTTGTCTACACTATTTATATACTAGAAATTACAGCGTTTTATCCAAAAGTATTAAAAAATACGTTTTAATCTAGTGTATTTGTAATTTTACTCATTTCACGTGCACGCACGTGCGTGCATGTGCATGTCGACCATATCTTCTTGTAGGAGTCTGTTATGTTTGTCTATGTTCTAAATCCCATCCTGTTTGGTTGAAAAACGAGGAAGTTATAGCCATTTTAAGTTTAAGCCAATCAGATTGCAGCGCACGTGTATGCGCATGTTTTCATGACAACTGTTATATATCATATTGTAGGACATCCTAATGCATGATTATGTATAAAATTTTAAAGCATTTCGTCTAAAATTAAAAAAAGATATTGCGATTTTTGTTTCAGCGAATCACAGCAAAGCACACGTGCATGCACGTGCATACCTGTGCATGACGACCATACCTCCTTGTGGGAGACCATTATGTATGTCTATGTTCTAAATCCCATACTGTTTCGTTGAAAAACAAGGGAGTTATAGCCATTTAAAGTTTAAGCCAATCAGATTGCAGCGCACGTGCATGCGCGTGTTTACATGACAATTGTTATATATCATATTGTAGTACATCCTAAAGTATGCCTATATTTTAAATTTCATAGCATTTTGTCAAAAAACAGAAAAGATATTGAGATTTCTGTTTCAGCCAATCAGAGCGAAGCGCACGTGCATGCACGTGAGTTCGTGCTAATTTGACAGTGTCACATTATCTACACTATGAATATATCCTTATTAAATGAGTTTTAAAATATTTCATCAAAAAATGTTAAAGTTATGGCTATATAAAGTATATCCGTCATTTCACTCATTTCACGCGCCCGCACGTGCATGCGTATGCGCGCAAAATAACCTTCGTGTTGCACACCTACACTACACACCTATTAACCCTAAAAAGGTTTTAGCTCAGTTGGGTGAACAGTTTCTGAGAACACTCGCGGACAAAAATGTAGCGGAGACGAAATAAGAAGAACAAAGAAGAATAATAATAACTAGAGCAAAGCTCGTTGCAAAGCAACGAGTAGGTCTTCCGTCCGGTTTTGACCGGAAGTGCCGGAAGTAACGTCAACAAAAGAAAGCAATGAGCTTAGTAGTCTGCAGTGACTTTATAATTTCAATTTTGTATCAAAACCTTCAAAATAAACTTTTTTTGGCTACTTCCAGTTTGACCGGAAGTGATGTCGACGGACGGAAAATTAAGTATTTTGCTTCCAGTGACATTTGTTACCCAAAAACATGTCAAAAATGGCCAAAATATCCTTTTTTTGACTACTTCCGGTTTGACCGGAAGTGACGTTATTTGACGACTTTCGACAATTCAGGCTTCATTTCCGGCTGACATCAAAGCCGAAAGACCAGAAAAAAACTCAAATTAAACCATTTTTTTTTCTATTTCTTTTGATTCAAGAGAGAAAGTTAAATTTTTCGTCAACTTCCGGTATAAACCGGAAGTACTTCAAATCGATGCTTTTTGTTGACGATTGTGAATTTAAACATAAGTTCTGTTTGCCTTTATTCACGACGGTTTAATTTTTCAAAAAATCTTGAAATTAAACATCACTTCCTGTGTCGACCGGAAGTGACGGATGCCAAATTAAAAGACGTAATACATATCTTAAAGAGATGTTTTACCATCCCTGAAAATTTCGTGATTCAGTCTTGAGTGGTTTACAAGAAGATGCGTGGACAAAATGACAATTTTAAAAATGAAAATCGGACAAAAAATGCGACCGGAAGTGATTTTTTAAAAAATGAAAAAAAGGTCTGGAGATATTACTAAAATGCATCATTCCTGAAAAAATCATTGAAATCGGTTCTGTAGTTTCCGAGAAATCTCGTGTACTATGAAAAGGGAAAAATAATAATAATAGGAAACATAAGAAAAACAGTAAGGTCTTCCGAAGGAAGTCGGAAGACCTTAATAATAATAATAATAATAATAAGAAACCGAGTAAAAAACAATATGTTCCCAAACTCCGTTTGGGGAACATAATAAGAAACAGAGTAAAAACAATATGTTCCCAAACTCCGTTTGGGGAACATAATAAGAATAATAATAATAAGAAACAGAGTAAAAACAATATGTTCCCCAACTTCGTTTGGGGAACATAATTACTGTCAAACGTTTTTTAGAAATAGTGTAAACTATTCCCGATATGATGTCTATCAAATTTGCTATGTGTCTTAAAGTCAATCATACAACATCAAATATTATTTGTTGAAATTTGGCAAACAGTACATAAGTTGTTATAATTTTTGTTGGCAAGGAGGGTACCCATTTTTGAAGCCCATTATATAATTTTTTGTCTTTGAAATCCACCTGCTAATATGTCTATAAGACAAGCATCGGTTGCTGTAAATGTCACATATTTCAGTGAATATTTCTTTGGGATTTTTAAAAAGTTTTACAGCAGCTTTAATGTAGCTTTTATTTTCACTCTAGTTTACTAATTCTTTACATTTCATTTATAATGCAGTGTCTCGAATAGCCCTTGTTTCCCAGCTTCTCACGATAAAACTATGTGATGAAAAGTGGTCACATAAACTGTTATAAATTCCTTAAAGATTCAATAATGAGAGAAAGCCAAGCTTTATGTCATATGACTACTATGTTGTATGTCATCGAGCTAATGACATTATTTATTGAACGCCCCTCGTACTTTTAATTAACTGTTATTACTTTAAACATCATGCAAAAATAAACTTAAGGACAAACGCAACGTACCTTCACTACTGATGATTTTTCGAGATATTCTTAGTTTAAGATTATACTGAACATTATTATATATGTTCATGGATAAAATATCAGCATGCATTATCAGGGGGCTTTGAAGGATATCAATATTGGTGAAAATTCTTGGATGATTCAAAGAAAAATATATTTAAAAAATACTTAACATATATTATAGATGTTTCTTTTATCCAAAATTGATTTAGAAGAAGTGTACAACACCGTATTTAGACATTAAAATATAGCACACAGCTCCTTCGGGAATTTGATCTCTTTAACTGGATGGAAGAGGACAAAAAAGTTTAAACTAACGCTTAGCGAATTATTTATATACCGAGTTACTCAATAACTAAAAGAACTTCCGGTTTGAATGGTCGCTCAAATCAATGTGGGAAAAGAAAAATCAGGGAGGAAAAGACTGTCTATCAAGTTGAATAGTTTTATGTAAGTTTATTAAAGCTGATTTAAATTGCTAGAAAGTTGATATATCTAAATAGTTTTAGTGAAATTAACATCCATTTGACATTTTAGGTAATGATATAAAAATTTGGACTTGCCACGAAAAACAGATGTTTCACAACATGTGATCAACACTTCAGTCTGCCAAGCCTCCAGCGTGTCCTCAGTCAACAAGTCCTAAGTTACAGTTAGTCAATTAAGGCAGACGTATAAATATTTTACAAAATGCCGGGACATGGAAGCAAAAAACAAGCACAGAGAACGAAAGGAAATACAAAGGTAGAATTAACGCATGTTTACTGTTTGTGTGTCTGTTCATTAACAAATTACAATCAAAGTTAACAGATTATGCCATGTCCATGATTTATGTATTATTTGAGAAGTTGGACATTGTCATACATGAGTATGGACCAGATTCCAAACTCTTGTCATTTCTTTCTTAAATCTTTTACATGAAAAGGAAAAAAGACACTTGATGTGGCTTTCAACTCAACATTTAGATTTAATATCGATGATGTATTGTCAATTAACAATAGCTATTTCCATTCTTATGTCGACATGATACTAGATCCCGGTGAGCATGGTGAGCTTGAAATAAAAGATACCACTGAGTCTGACACATCTGTTTCATATTTGGATCTTCTACTAGAAAAAAGTGAATGTTTATCTAATAACAAAGCTTTATGATTGACGCGGTGACTTTAACTTTTCAATTGTCAACTTCCCTTACTTATGCAGAAATATATCCTTGTCACCTGCATACAGAGTTTATATCTCTCAGTTGATTCGATACAGAAGAGCGTGTTCTCTCTAAACTAATACTATGAACAATTTCTAAAATGAAGTAAGCTATTGACAAACAAGTTGATGACACAAGAATATCAGCAGTCTCATTTAAAGTCATCATATTGTAATTACTTTGGTCGATACAATGACCTTGTTAGCAAAAACAATTTATCATTAAGCCAAGTGCTGACTGGCTTAATTTTTCATACTGACATGCCATTATTTGCACACCGAGTTGTCCACAGATTTTTTTTCATACTTCATTATTTTGTGACCATGGCAAGGAGCACTAGCTGTGCTCAACAAATAGAAAGTGTTTTACTGTTCATCATGTATATAATTTATTCTTGGAAATAATTATTTAAGTACAGCGTCTCAAATAAAATTCTTTTAAAGCTGTAAATATATTGTTTATTATAACTATTCTGCATCTTTTTATTAATATTTTAGCCCTCTAGCAGTAGTGAAGCTGCCAAGTTACTTCTTGAGGCAGGGACAGCCCCTACTGGGTTTATAGGGTTTGGATTTCAAAGCAGCAGTCCTGGATATGTACCAGTAAGCCACAGCTTGGATGATGTTGACTCAAGTTTAGATTCAGATATCCGCATGGTTCTTCGCAAGCTTAGCAAAAGAGATGCCACAACAAAAGTCAAAGTATGTTCTACCTAACAAAATTTTCTAGATTTCCCCTTCCCCCTCATTAAGTTCTAAATCCTGCCAAGAACATGTAAAATCTTGTAGAATGCTTATGTGGCCATTCTTTCTTTTTTTTTGCAATGGGTCTTTTACAAAATATTTGATATTATTGATTAATATGTAAATCTTCATGTATCCAGGCACTACAAGAATTCAGCAGTTTATGTAAAGAAAAAGATGAAGAGAGTGTCAAAGCAGTGCTTCCCTACTGGCCAAGGATTTACAATAAGATGGCCCTAGTAAGTTCAGTCTCAAATTCATAGTTTCATTTTTTCCCCCACATACAACAAAGGGAATTCTTGTTTCCATATACTTTTATTGTACATGAATATATCCAGTCAGGTTAGGCCGAATAAAAAAAATATATTTATTTACAGCAAACCAAAATTTTTTGCATGACCTCAGTTTTTTTCTTGCAAGTTTAAACTTTTATTAAGTCAGCAGAACATTCAACAACTGTTTTTTCAACAGATCTATGATTCGAATGAAACTATCAGCTATGCTTACAAGTATTTGTTATGTTTACAATCATTACTTCGATATTTTTCTTATTTTTCTATTTGGAATTAGAATTAATTTCTTCATATTTAAAGTGTGAAGAGTTTTTGAACCAAAATTTGGTTGAGGGAAATTTTTTATCAAATTTCAAATGAAGCATGGGATGCAGTGTTATATCTTTAATAAAATCCTGTCATTATGTTTAAACATTGTTTTACCGGTATATGCTGTTGAGACTTACTTTTTACAAATTTAAGGATGTAGATCACAGAGTAAGGGAGATGACTCAGACAGCCATGAACACACTGGTACTCAGAATGAGAAAAAATCTGGCCCCCAACTTAAAGACCCTGATGGGGGCATGGCTCCTCAGTCAATGTGATACGTACCCCACGGTGGCCACCGCCGCACAGCAAGCTTTCCAGACCGCCTTTCCTCCCACAAAACAGACTGATGCCCTGGTGTTCTGTAAACAGGAATCAACAGAGGTGTGACATGTCTTACATGTATAATGTTAAATGATAAAGAAAATTGCTCAGTAAAATTGTGTTAGCCAGAAAGTTAGCAATTCAGTAGTTAACAAGCTCTTTTGTGATGTAGATTTTACTTTAGGGATGATAGTGTAAAAAAAAAATTAAAAGTGAGTGGGAGGGAAGTTGAGGTTTATAGACTCATCTGATTACATTTTAAAGACGTCAATAAGATAACCTGTGTCAGAGAATAAAAAGCTTATAAAAAGCTTTCTTGGTTGGTAACATATACTTAATAGTATTCAGCAAAATTTATTATGCATTCTTTTTAAAGAAAGGCACATGTAGCTTATGTTTTGTTACTTCAGAAGTACAAAGAATTTATTTTCAGTAAGTGAAACTTAACAATTGTTATTTTCAGTATCTCCTTGACAACATCTTACGCCAGACACCACTAACATTGAGTGACCCAAAGTAAGAATTCCAAGGATAAATATACCTTCTTAAAAAGTTTGTTAAATGTTCAAAATCAAGATGTTTTTAAAACAAATTTGAAATTTTAATGGCAATTTTAGTTAAGAGTATTGAGATTTCAAGAGTTACATATTTCTAACATTTCATTCTATATATTGGATGTTACAGTTATCTCTCTAGGCATCGTAAAATTATTAAATTTACTTTTTGCTAAAATTAGATACTGATATTTTGAAAAAAAAAATTAATTTTGGTCTCTCTAAAATTTTCACTTCGATGGTATGAAGAAATTTACTGAAGATGACATATAAAATTTGAAGTGTTATTTCTGACTACAGTCTCTGTAACAATTCTTCACTGTCCTTTTATTTTTTTGGATTTTCTGTCAGTTTCTTCATATTTTTCCTTCAGGACAACAGAGAAAGAGGACATGGAAAATAAATACAACCGAGTGTTGACCTCCTCACTGTTAGCTCTGAGAAAACTACTCACTGCTCTCCCAGCTGATCAACTCACATCTCTCTCAGATAAAATGGATAGCCTTCTGAAAGATCCCAAATTTTGGAAACATGGGAAATCACAAGTTATTAGTGTAAGTGTTAGAAAACTTACTTAAAAATCTCTCATTTACATTGATGCACATGTATATTTTCAATATATTACCATATTCAATGGTTCACATTGTACTTAGTTACTGTAGTTCAAGGTTAGAGAGAATTTGCTTTGTGTATGAAAACTGAATTGTTAAAGCAAACTTAGATCTAATTAAAAGAATCATTTTCTATTGAAAAAGATGATATTTATTCTTCCAGTCTCTTTTCTCAAATCTAAAACTTTTAGCAAAATTGAATGATTTAAAACAGTCATAAACTATTATAATGGCTAAACGCTATTATGTTAAAAAAGCAAAGAAACTTTATTGGATGTCTTATCATTGAGTGTTTTAATTACATTGGTGAAAACATGATATATCAGGATGAGAAACAACATTTCCTTGAATATTGATGTGTAGGTTCAAGCTGCAGTTTACTCCTTTCTGGCGGGACTGTGTCAGACACTTCCTGGGACTGTTACCCAGCATTCCAAGAAAGTTTCTACCCACATCCTTCACAACATAGATGAGACTGACGCAGTTATCTGTCCTTGTCTGTGGGAGGCAGTGCTGTCCCTTGTTAGCTATATTGATGTAAGTCAATGTTATATATATGTAGATGACAGTATTAAGAAGCATTTATATAGTTTCTTTGATTGCAAAGTACATGACCTAAAGTTATAAATCTTTCTCTATGAATTATACCATTATTTTGTGTTGAAAATTAGGAAAGCGGGTCTTTTGTTGGGAAAGAAACTACAATTCACAGTTAATTATTAATTAACAATTAAAAGACACATGTAAAAAAATTTCTTTCAGTAATCTGAAAATGTCTAAATTTTGACAGGACTGTTGGCAGCATATAAATGTGGAAAAGGCTTTCTGGCCAAAACTAAGGAAATATCTAGAAAATGGTTGCCATGGAAATGCCTGTCTAATGGGTGGTGACCTACTTCCATTCCTGAGTAAAGTCCCCCCAACTCTCCTGGGAGAAGGTTATAAATTCTACATTGAATTTTTCAACTACTTCAAGTCTGGGTAATTATTTAAAATCATTATCTACAGCATATATCTTATGAATTGAATACATGTATGTATATACACTTATGTATGTATATATAGCAGTCATATATATCTGTTTGTCTTTATTTGATAAAAGTTGTACTGTTTATGTAAAATGGTTATATGCCAGCATGTTTAAGGTGAATAATAAAGTGAAAACAAAATATTTATCAAACTAATAATATTAAAGACTGGCAGAACAAAATGGCACAATCAAAATAAGCTTAAAAATGTCAAATTATGCAGTTTTGTTTTCTTGTACTGACTTGTACAGTAAAACTCGGTTATAACGAAGTCGCTAGAACCTCTGAAATTACTTCGCTATATCCATACTTTGTTATATCCTAATAATTAATTTGTCAAATTTTTATAACTGGGGATCCAAGATAACTTTGCTATATCTGTGAATTCGCTACTGTATACAGGTTAATTTTTGCCCCCGTTTTATATCCATACTTTGATTATTTATCCTAATAAATAACACAGTCATAATTTCTTAAACAAAACAATGACTGGGCGATTTTAAAACGGGGCAAAATAACAGTTTGCTATAACACGGGGCGAAAATAACCCTGTATACAGTGTTCGTACTAAACAAGTTTTACTGTACATGAATGATCATGTTTATCTAGCGTATGAAACAGTTACCTTTAGTATTTTATAAATCATTTGGACAAAAAAAGGACTGTTTTATTAATATTTTAGATATAAAGGAGATGTGCACATGTACATAAAGTTGTTATAAAATATTCTAGCATAATACACATTTCCAATGCATTTTCAGGTTGAGTAAGGACCCAGTTCAAGCGAGTCCCAGTGAATTAGGAGCTCTAGTGCGAGCATTCTTTGAGTGTGCTCAATTTGTGATAAAGTCTGCAATGAAAAGCAGCAAAGATGAAGGACTCTTAGAAATCATGTTCTCTGATCAGGTATTTACAGAAATGAAAAGTTTTGAGATCCAGGCACACAGCAAGCTGCATAATTTCAATCTTTAACTCTAACATTTCTTCATTGTGCAGATCATGCAAGTCGTCCATGCGTCCTTGTTTGAGTCTACCTCAGCTCTCCACAGAACGCCGCTGTACAGCCTACTGGGAAACCTCCTGACCTCACTGGAGACCAGTGATGAGTGTACTCAGTCCGTGTCCAACTTCTGGAGTGAGCTAAGACTCTGTGTATCAGACAGGCTCGGCTCAGCACTGTCCAGTGAAGAACGGTACTTCACAGACAGACTGATCCAGTTCGTGAAGTGTCTGATTTTTCCACAAAGTGGTAACAAAGCGAAGACTGATGTAAAAGTGAAAGTCAAATTTGCTGCTGGTGATGTAGTCCCTGGTATGGAGCAGCTGTCTGTAAACCAACAGGAGAGGAGAGAGTTGTCAAGAGGAGCAAAGGAGTTTGTACATATGATGACAATTAAATCTTTTGAGATGGCTCACAGGAACCACAATAAGGAAAATCTACATTTGTTTGCTGCTTTAATTGAACTGTTACCAGAGGAGGAAACTATTAAGGATATTATTGAAAGATGCCATGGGGATGTGAAAACTGACCAATCACATTCTAGCTACTTTGTGTTTAATGTTTGTTTACCATGGTTACATCAATCACAAGCGTTAGAAGAAAATGATTCTGTACAGTTAATCAGTGTCATTTGTAGCTTCATTCCCTTGCTTGAATCATCAGTGGTTGATACTTTGTTGGAAGAACTCTGTAAGGTAATGTTGTTAACATTTTTAAAAAAAATGACCCCCCCCCCCAAAAAAAAAAAACTTAACTGTGTACTTTTATCTACGTTTGAAGTAAATGTTATTTGCTGCAGTTGTACCAAAAAAGAACATATTAATTAACCGATCTTGATAAAGTTAAATGAGAAATGGTAGTTTATAATTGTTGTATTTAAAATGTTCTAGATGCAGTAAATCAGAGATAAACAGTAAATAATGCTTCGTGTCCTTTTTCAGACAATAACCAGTTTCTTGGTGTTCTACAATCTGCTGAGTAAGATGGTGCAGATACAGAGACAGATGGCGGGGGTAGACAATTGGCTCCACAGTGATTCCCTGGGGGAGAAGATTGTCTCTGTGGCCCACACTGTGTGTGAGGAGAGTCTGGGGAACTCTGAGGAGGACAAGATTCAGAAAGGCTGGGACATCCTGACACTGGTTCTGTCTGCAGGGATAGATAGAGGTACACAGGCTGTACTGGCATTGTTTTGGATTATACAGTCATGTCAGTAAATGATACTCAAAAAACACCCAATGCAAGAAACCAGTAAATTTTCAAAATATATACAGTTATCTGCATAGGATTTTGCTATACATTTGTTGTATTATTTTTTTAAATATATTTCCCTCAATTTTGAAAGTTGAAAACATTTTGTGATATGTGAAAGAAGATACAGTACAATACATGTGCACACATTCTTTTGAATCTACCATTATATTCCTTTTATCACAGTGAAACCCTCCACAGTACATGGTATTCTACAGACCATCCATAAGTCATTGGCTGACCTTGAACTCAACAAAGACAAACAGCAAGCCGATCTCGCTGTCAAGTTTGTTGCCAAGGCAACCACAAGTTTCTTTCTGCACCTGAAGGTACAAAAGACATAATTGTGATGTTTGTTATTTATTATTATTAATCTGCTATGATGCTTTTGATGACAGAAATAGATTCTATGCTGGTAATTTTACTTACATAGGATGCTGGCATGCTACATGCTGGAGAAGACTTACTGGTGTCTTTGTTCTCTATCTGTGCTGACCATTCTTTCCAGCTTCAAGGTTTGTTTGAAGAAAACCTTCCATTTTGCATGAAGATATTCTTTTATTTTGTTTGCCCAGTTCAGTTCTAGAAAATATTTGTCTTGTACATGTATTTTAACAGACGGTAATTTGTGTACAGTATTAAAGTATTGGTTATGTACATGTATTTAGAGAACATACTATTGATCCTAAGTTGAAATTGATGTTTATTAAATACATAGTCAAAGTACTAGTATGTATTTTAAAAATCTCTGTTTCTCAGATTCTACAAGACAGGAAGCAGAAATTGCATGGACCTCTGGGATATCATCTGTTGTCAAGGAAACAGGAGGATTTCTCCAGGAGGGATCTGTTTTATACAGATTCAAAGATGTCATACAGAAACAGTTACTGAGGACTGAAACCATGGATTCGTAAGATCTAGCTTAAATCTGTCAATTTGTCTCTTTCACTACCTGCAGATAAATTTCTATGATGTATGAACTACATACTATGAAGTGAGAAGAACTAAATACAGTATTGCTTTAGAGCTTGTAAAATCTTCTCATCTAAGATATGAATCTAAATCATAAATTAAAATGCAATACAGGTACTCTAAAATGCAGTTTAAATCTGGATACATATCCATGCCGATTTTAATATATGTTTGTATTGATTTAGGTTTCAGTGTTTGTTCCACTCCACTGAGAAGTTACTGGGTGTCATCAGAGGAAGTCTTCCACGTGAGGACGAGACAGAAGAGAACCCGGTGGTGTCCGTCTTCCTCAGTGAACTCTTCATTAAAACTCCACCAACACTGACAAAATCGGTAAATAAAAAATTATTCATTGCAAAAGATTCCCTGACAAAATTTTGATTAAAATAGCAAAGATGTTTAAGGTCATCAGAAGAACCTAAGCCAAGATTGCATTGATGCTGAGACATTTTTTAAAAGTTGCTAAAAAATTTTAATATGTTCTTTGTAGATGGCAGAATATTGCCTAGTGAGTGGACGTCTATCCTACCTAAACTTCCCTGCCAAGTCAGATGGCTCCTTCAACCTGACTCAGACTTTATACACAACCCTGTTTAACGTCCAGCTTTTATTGACCTCTGACTATTGCTATGATAACCAGGAGATTCTACTGACTGTACTAGAAAGTGTTGCTTTAGTACTTGTGTACCAAGACATGGAAAAAAGAATGGTGAGGAGAAATTCTTCAAAATAAAATAATATATATTCTGAGCATTATACATGTGTATATATAATTTCTTAAGTTTTATCAACTCTTTTATAAAAGACTTCATGTCACACAATACATTATTCTGTTCAGTTTTTAAGAATAGGGGTTGTTTTGAGTACAACATAATAATATACATTAGGAATAAAAATCTTTACTTGTATGAAAAGTAAACCTATGGCTTGAAAATGAAACTTGGGAAAACAGTTTAATGATCTGTGGTGAAACGTAATCAGAAGACTTAAGTTTTACATTGTAAATTTCAGCTGGTCAGATTTGCTGACATAATAAAAGGAATAGAAACACTGGAAGAGAAAACAAAATCTGTAGTATTGCAGATGTCACATCAGAAGGGAAATGCTCTGATAAATTATACCCTAGACAGGTATTACTATTGAATACATGAAAATAATGAGATAGCTCTGGAAATAGCCTAAAATATAAGATCTTTTTCCCAAGAATCTGTTAATAATTTCTCTCCTAAATATTAAATTCTGTTCTTAGAAAGTTTTTTAGAACACAGTTAAAAGCAAAAGTCAGCTTATGCAAAAAATTCTAAACTTTCATTAAACTGCTGTAATTTTTCTTTACAGATGTAAAGATGATGGGTCTCTAAGTTTATCTCTGAGTGAAGTTCTCCCAGGAGTTCTATCAGATTCAGAAAATCAAGTGAATGTCAACAGCTTAGTGGAGAGGTACAATGAAAACTGTAAACCAACTTTAATTTGCAAGAATGTTTTGGATTGCAATTTATGTTCGACCTTCTGTTTGCAAAAATCTTTCTCATGCTTTTTTTTCATCAATGTTTATTTGATAAATCAATAACCAGAATTCGCAAAAATTTTGTTTTACTAATAAATATTAAACAGCTTTAACAGAGAAATAAGGATTCACATAAAGTAAATGACTTCTTTAATTTTAACATAAAATACTGTCATAATTTTTTTATGCGTACAAGAATTCGAGAAATCTATATGTAACTTGAATATACATGTACATGTATAAATAAGGTTATGCAGATGTATGGTGTTTTGACATTATATTCTCTATGGTTAGATTCTCTGAGTTAGATGAACACAGTATCCAGACATTACAGACAGTAGCTGGACACCTGGACATGGCTGGTCTAATAACCTTGACAGAGGTCATGGTGGCCAGGATCATCAGTTGTGATGTTGAGAATGTCATGTCAGCTAATGGCAAGTACATGTAACATGCATGGATTGAATGGATGTGTAATGAATATACACTTGTTAAAAGATCTCAGTAGTGAAAATTGGACACTTTTAAAGTGGAAGTTTTATCCAATGTTTATTCATTTATGAACATGTAGCTGTAGAACATGTAAATCAATATCAAAAAATTAAAGAAGAGTTTTAAATTCAATTTTATTACTTAATAGGAGGAATATCTGCACTAAGTGTCCTTAATTCTGCATTGAGGAGTAAAGCTAATGATGAGATGGCAGAGCTGGGTACAAGTGTACTGACACAGGTCATGACCTGGAAAGACCAGATGGATGACCTACTGCTGTGTGAATGGTAAAAAAAATACACCATACCATACTGCAGATAATATGTTTGTCTGTAAACAAAGATGCTTAATAGAATGAAAGTGTAACTGTCACAGTTAAAAAAAATCATCATATGAACAATAAATACCATATTTAATATTTTTGTAGCAATCTGGTAGATGCTGATGGAGTTAAGGTTCTTGCTAATGTAGAAATAGTCAGGTTCCTACAGAGGGCAGTGCAGTATTTCCCTTACAAATTATCAGATAAAGCCTGGGATTTCATACTATGTACAGCAGTAAGCCTTATACAGGTAAATTCAATTCCAACTTTGAATGTTCACTGTCTTTTTTGTTTTCCTTTAAATATGAAAATTTTAAAATTTACTTTGAAAATTTTAATAAACATTGAGCCTACATGTACATTAGTAATGGATTTTGTGATTTATGGAATTTCACTTCTCAATGTCTTTGCACTGAATACATGAAATATTTTGATTTTGCTATCCAAATTAATGCAGAACATTGAAATAAGAAATAAGTGTAAAATTTTACCATCTAATTTATAGACAGTGAGTGAGAGTGAATCCCAGCTGATGACATCAGTCCCTGTACAGGTATTCACCCTGTCTGTCTGTCTGTTAGTGTCAGAGGTAGCACACACTATTGAGGATATTTCACCCGTCCAGCAGGATATATGCCCAAAGAATCTGGCTACGGAATGGGAGGAATTTTTCAGTGAAGGAATCTTTTCTTCCCTGCTACCTGTTTTCCATGGACTAACAAGTAATATTTTTAGGAATATATGACAGTTGGCTCACTGTATAAAAAAATTAAAAACAGTAATGTTTTTTTTACAATTTCTTTTTTCTTTATTGATTTTTTTATGCATTTAATTATGAATTCTATAAGTTATGTAAACAAGTCAGTTTCCTAGTACATCGTGTACATTATTATGATTAGTATTTGTCATGAATTTAAGATTCTATTTTAATAAAGGACATGACATACATTCAATGACACTATTAATTGTTTATAATTATGATGATATAGGCAACTTGAAGAAGAAACCTTTGAGAGGAGTCTTGGACTGTCTAGTAAGAGGTGTGGCCAGTGCTGCGTCATACTGCCCCAAACAGCAAGTGCTAGGTCACAAGTTACCGGCATATCTTATCGCTGATCAGTTGTCTCCCCTGCCAGACACTCTTCAATCTCTCCTTAATCACATGACCCCTTGTCTGATGTTCCCCCACAGAAGTGTACAGTCAGCCGCTTATCATATTCTGAAAAGGTAACAGAGTGTATGCTGTATGTCAGAAGGCACTGTAGATCACATTTCATTGGTGAGAACTTTATTTTCGCTTTATTTTGCAAGACAGTGTGCTCATGAAAATATGATTCTCGCGTATATTAGTATTCCTATGGATAATATAAAGTAATCGCCACAATTTGTGAAAATTTTGTCTCTCTCATAAAGAGGCAATGACTATCACGTGAAAATTTAGTGATCTACAGTAATTGTAAATAATGTTTCACTCTCATTGATATATATCCTTTAGTTTCTATTACAGGTGCCGGATTTTTTTTTTTTTTTTTTTTTTGAGAATTTTACAAAATAATTAAAATATACTGAAAAATGATGGGGTATGCTGAACTTAAGAAATAAGATGGAATTTTTTTTTCTTCCTTATTTCCATGATAAAAAAATCTAGTGTCTTGTGCTTCTTTTGTACTCTTTGTTGATATGGCACAATATCGACATCATTCATGTGTTTCTTTGAGTATATGTAAATATTAATACCTCAGAGTGGCACCGGAACTTCCTGGGTATGACAAGGAGGAGACAATGGAGGGAGAGGAGGAGCAGAATTCAAGGTAAACAGAAAAATTATCTTCCTTATCAGCTAAAGCAGAATTTAAAACAGTTTATCCATCAAGAGTTTCAAGATTTTTTGCATGACAATATTCTGTTCTTAATTAAGTTAGAAGTAAAGTCTTACCGCACAGGCACTTGTCAACAAAAAAAATTTTCACCATCTTGCTAAAGTAACAGTAGAATTACTATTTCAGATTACTCTGGTCTACATATATCTGATTTGGTGACAATTAGCTGTATTTGTTTTGTAGGAGTCCCCCAGTCTCACTGATACAAATTATTACAAACAAGCACTCGACAACCCTGTCCACTGTGTTACTAGACCTCAGTGTAGATCAGAAATTCATCGTGGAACCATTCACTGAAATTTATCAACATGTCCTGGCCTATCTGTTGTCATGGAAACTCCTACTGACCTCATTTCATCACTCGCCAGCGGAGGTAAAAAACAATTGCATGATTAGTAGTCTCTCCATTTCAATACTGAATTACCTGTATTATCCATGTATGTATCTTTCATTTTGTGAAGGTAGAATCACTACGGTACTTTAACTTTTACGAACATATAGTTCAAGGTTTAAAGGATAAATTTGAGAAAATTGTTTTGAATATTCTTTCAATCTTTATTTCTCCCTTTTGGAGATTTCACATGTAACTTAAATCTATGATTTTTTCTACATGTAACTTAATGTCAGTATTTTAAGCAAAGACTTAAGCCAAGACAATTATTACAGCTGCGGTCAAAATATGCTGCATATTTACAAGAAAATGGCTGTATGAACCAGCTAATGTCGGTTATCTTCCGGTTGATGCCAGAGGTTCCAATCAATAAGGACAAAAGCAACATTTTTGAGAAACCTTTCTCTCTTCAGGCATCAGGTAAGGACAGGAAGGAAACTCCATTCCAATATTTGTTCATATACATGTAATATGGATTTTATCCTGAATTGACTCGGTTGAGAGATTTTTTTTTTTATATTTTATTCAAGAAAAAACAATTTTTTTCTCTTCATATACTGTATATATGAACTGATAAAAAATGTCAATTTTGATGTTTTACAGACAGTAAATTTCTAATGTAGTAATAAACTGACATCAAAGGTTGTTATCTTTAATGAACATTGCTCTGCTGTAGACTTTAACACTGTGTACTTTTCCCCAGGTGAGCCCAGTTCTTTTGAGATTTGTGAGTTGGCCTGCAGTGTTTATAAGGATGCTCTAAAGACAACACCTGCCCTGGTGCGACTGTGGTGGAAAGACCAGGACAGAAAATCTGTCAGTTATGTTGATAAGTAAGTATCTTATTTTTTTTAAGCTTTGCTTTGCTTGTATTATTAGTAAAATTTACAGTATATACAAGCAGCTTTAGATTTATATTTTTGATTGGTTTCCCAATAATAGATTTTGTATCACTGATAAACGATTTTACAGATTTACCAGTAAATATGTCAGTCCTGTTCTGTGTACAGAAGAAATCTCCTCTCTTGATGCAATAGACAAGAAAGATGTAAATTTCACTGTGAGTTGTATACAATATCTAATACATATTATTGAGGCCCTGCTTCATAAACAGGGATTTGGCTAACGATAAAAAATCAATTGTTTTTGTGCTCCAAATGATCCATTAAAATCGCCCCTGTCCAATAATTTTTTCAGCACTTTCGATTTTTAATTAATATTTTTTTTTAATTTAGTTTCAATAGAAAAAGAGATTCAATTTGTTTCATCAGGATGTTTTCATACTGAAAATTTTCATATCTATAAATATTAAATCTGTCTAGTAGTTATCCAGTATGTTTTGAAAACAACAATAAATGTTTTTTCTTCTTTTTTTTATGCTGGCTTACAAGTTCCCCCAATTCTGTAAACTTTTCTACAAAGAATAAGTTAGATAACTATAAATAATAATTTGGGTATCTTTTTGGATTTTCAGGTGAAGACCCGCCCCTCTACACGTGAGGTTGTGGCGGTGCACACACTTGAGGAAGTGTGTATAGAGGTTGTCATCACCCTCCCACAGAATTATCCCCTGGGTAACATCACGGTATCCAGCGAGAAGAAGGTTGGAGTCACAGCCCAGCAGTGGGACAAATGGCTGTTGCAACTCAACATCTTTTTACAGCACCAGGTAGAGAAATGTTTTCTTGTGTAGTGTTTTTAATTGAATTTTCAGTTTTACTTAGTAATCCATATTCAAAGATGATAGAAATCCAACTTTTGAAAGAAATCTAGATGTATTGTTTTGTACTTCTTTTAGGAAAAAGTTTCATTTTCTATTTGAGTTCATGGCAAAGTCAAAGATAATTCTTTCTTAATTTTATGTTTTATGCATGAAATAATCATGTACATGTTAATAATTGTTTTAATGTGTACATGTGCTTGTATTTTTACTTTTACATTGTATATCATAGAATGGTAGCATCATGGATGGTCTGAGAATCTGGAGGAGGAACATAGACAAGAGATTTGAGGGAGTAGATGACTGTATGATCTGTTTCTCTGTTCTACATGGAACAAACTTCCAGCTGCCCCGACTCTCTTGTAAAACCTGCAAGAAAAAATTCCACTCAGCCTGTCTGGTGAGTCAGCAGTTACCTCCCGTATTTTTAATAAATTCTCAGGTGCTTGGTCTTTATTTATATGAATATGTGTGATAACTTATATACATGTTAATGTATAAATACAGGTGCTTGTATATGAATATAAGATATCAAACATACATTGTATTCAGTATAATATTTAGAACCAGACACCTGTTACAAAGTCTTTTTTTAGTGTGAGAATATTTCCTATGTATTTTTTTTTCAAATTACATTTGTACATTGATGGTCCAGATTTTGTGGTCAGCAACCTGAGTGTATAATATGAAATAGATGACAATTTTATTTCCTATCTTTCAGTACAAATGGTTCCAGACCAGCCACAACTCTACCTGTCCATTATGTCGAAATCTGTTCTAGTCTGGTGCAAGCTTATCTGTGATGGACATTATTTTGTCATCTTTTAAATAAAAATCATGTTGTTTTATGTTGAAGTGAATTTACACATATGTTTACTGTTGAGATGTTTAAGTACCCCACCTAAAGAATTGCAAAACCTTTTTTGAAAATTGTGCTCGGATACACAACCATTGTTGTGTCAACTTTTTTCTGGGGGAGGGGCTTTATGCGCATTGTCCCAGATGTAAATACGGTCTTGAATCACATTTTTGTATTCATGTCTCACGCAACAAGTTGCAGGAGGTGTAATGTTTTGACCCGTCCGTAAGTCAGTCAGTCCTATTTTTTGTCAGCGCAACTCCTCATAGAACGATGCACAGAATTTGGTCAAACTTTGCAGTTATTTAGGACACAATGTGCATATCATAAGGAAATTCCGATTCCTTAATTTTTTCCGGGAATTTCGACATTTTTGGCCATACCTTGAATATAGAGATGAACAGTTTGTCAGCGCAACTCCTCATAACCGCAGCACGGAACTTCCTCAAACTTTGCAGATATTTAGTACACAGAGTGTATAAGTGCACATTATCAGGAAATTCCGATTCTTTTTATTTCGGGATTTTTGGCACTTTGAGTTGGGGAGGGGGGGGGGGGGGGCGTGGGGTATGTGAGCATGCTCACTTTTTCTTAATTGGAAAATAAATTCTTCAATGATCGTGTACAACTTTTGCTATTTTCAAAGAAGAGTTGAATTGGGAAAACGTAAAACTTTTCCCTTGTAGACAAAGGGAACGTAACAATCTCTCGGAAAAAGTTTTTTAAATATATCTTTTTATATCGATAATTTAAAAAATATTTTATTTACAGATGTAAAAGTGAATAGGATTGGGCAGCAGGCTCAATCTTTTTAATAGTCCCCTCACTTTTAAATTGACATTAAATTGAATATGGGTATCGATGTTACTTTTCACACGATCTCTAATTGAATCCCAGGAAAATGCTTCATTTTCTACATGCATGTGATTCTATTACAGCCATAAAGTACGGGGAATGATTAATTATGTTTTGATCTAATTCTTGATGACAGTTTCTTAAGTTTCAGTGCTTCATTTCTTTTTTGTTAGAGAAAAATGCTTTCTAAATTGATAAAATATAATATAAACTAACACCGACCGCTGCACTGAATGAAACAGAAACTTCAAATATATGACGTGTTACTTAGCATTATTCATACAAATAATTGCAGACAAAGTTTTAATATTTGATCACGTATTTACAATGCCTATATCTGAATGCGTAATAAACGTTTTGTTGACTTCGATCTTCAAGTTTGTTGACTTTAGCCCTGTCCATAAGTGTCGTGTCAATATTGAAATTGTCGGTTGTGTTTTGTCCAGAGGCTACCGGGGTGTGGTATGCTAGCTATAGGGTCAGGTCTGAACAGGGATGGGGGTTTATAATTAATAGTAAATAAGAATGGAACGTGCTTCAGTAATTTCGTGATTATTATAATATACTCGTTTACGTGCGCAACAAGGCAAATGTGAGTAAACTTGATTTTGTTTCTGGTTTGGTTATATCTGAACTAAGTTTGACAAACTTTTTAGGACAGTCTCAGGACAAAGTATAAAAGTTTGTTAAATGTATCTTGAAAGATAAAACTTATGTTAAATGAAAAAGAATTAAAGCCACAATTTATGTAATGTTCTACATTATGTAGGTACATGTAGATTAGATTATCTTAATATCGACATCATAGTTTTAAAAACCAAGTAAACTAATATAAATTAAATTGATTTCAAAGACGTTTTTTTTTTTTTTTTATAAAATGATTAATTCAGTGTTTATATGTACGAGGGTTGTCCCGTAAAATCGTGGACAAGTTGTCTCGCATGAATAATAATCATCACTGCTTTCTGAAATTTTCACTACTTCTTAGTACATATTTTCTGAATAAATAGGGCAAATTTCAAATAGATATATGCATAAATAAAGAGATTTAATATTATGTATTGTATCGCCTTATGGCGCATGGATGATAACGTCAAAGTGCCTAAAACAGCGTCAGGTACCTCAAGTTTCATTTTTGCACTAAAACAAAAGTTGAATAAGCCCCACTTAAATTTCGAAATTTCATTGAAGCACATACTTAAGTCTCCATAAACAATTGAGGAATCAATCTGGCACAAATGTACGATCTTCTGATGATTTATTAGTAAGATACGGACAATATTCCAACATCATTCAACTAATAGACAATCTTATATTGACCTGGTCAATATTGACAGCGTCTTTAGCTATTACAATTGTAGTTTGTCTGCATGTCTTGTACTACCTCGGGACTCGATCAAGAAAGACTTTACTCAGAAAACTCCCATATCATTTATATACTAAAGATTTGGCATATTTGGGGGGGATTTTTTCTTCCAATTACACCATCTAAATCATAGCGAACTGATCTCCGGTGCGCCGTAACGTTACCAAACGTCACCATTTTTCGTGTGTTGTGTTAACCATTTTCCAATTTCAAATGTTCAGGAAACTGTCAAAAATTGACCAAATGCATTGAAAATTTTAAGAAGACAACAAAATAAATTGTGGAATTGAATAAGGATAATTTTTACCCTAATCTTATATATTTAAATCTTTTGTTTCAAACCAATACTCCTGTATTCTCTTATAAAACCTTCGTTTTTTGACCGTGTGCCGTAGGGCCTTACCCTGTGCACATTCAAGCATTATAAAATCTATATGTTTGTGTATATTTTTTCCAAAACATTATAATCAACTTAAATATGATAGATAAACATTCACTGAAAATTTCAGCTTATTACGTCCATTATTTTTCGAGAAAAACGCTTTGTACACGATTTTACGGGACAACCCTCGATTTCGAGTTTTTAGGTCACCTGAGTAAACTCAGGTGACCTATTGCTATCCGTTTTCGTCCGTCGTCGTGTGTCGTGTGTCGTGCGTCGTGTGTTAACATTTGAACATTTTCAGCTTCTTCTCTGAAACCACTGAACCAATTTCAACCAAATTTGGTATACAGCATCTATGGGGGAAGGAGAACAAAAGTTGTGAATTTTATGGTCCCCGCCCCCCTGGGGCCTGAGGGGTGGGGCCAAAACCACTAAAATTATTGCAATCTTTAAAAATCTTCTTCTTTACTCCTGGACATCAAGCAGGCAAACTGTTGGCATGAATGTAATGAGCATTGAGTCCTCTACTTAAATTGTGAAATTCATGGCCCCAGGGTCAGGGGTTCTAGTGCTAGGGCGGGGCTATATAGATTATATAGTGAAAATGCATGATTTCTTTGAAAATCTTCTTCTCTGCTCCTTGGTATTAAATAAACTAACCAAGCACATAGTTATGATGAGCAAGAGTGCCTCTTCCAAAATTTTGAATTTTATGACCCCAGGGTCAGGGGTTCTGGTATTAGGGCGGGGCTCTATTGGTTATATAGTGAAAATGCATTTATTCTTTGAAAATCTTCTTCTCTACTTCTTGGTATTAAATAAACTAACTAAGCACATAGTTATGATGAGCAAGAGTGCCTCTTCCAAAATTGTGAATTTTATGACCCCAGGGTCAGGGGTTCTGGTATTAGGGCGGGGCTCTATTGGTTATATAGTGAAAATGCATTTATTCTTTGAAAATCTTCTTCTCTACTTCTTGGTATTAAATAAACTAACTAAGCACATAGTTATGATGAGCAAGAGTGCCTCTTCCAAAATTGTGAATTTTATGACCCCAGGGTCAGGGGTTCTGGTGTTAGGGCAGGGCTCTATTGGTTATATAGTGAAAATGCATTTTCTTTGAAAATCTTCTTCTCTACTTCTGGGTATTATATAAACTAACTAAGTACATAGTTATGATGAGCAAGAGTGCCTCTTCCAAAGTTAGGGCGGGGCTCTATTGATTACATAGTGAAAATACATTAATTCTTTGAAAATCTTTCCTTTGCTCCTGGGTTTTATGTCAATGATTCAAATATATATATATTCATGATGAAGAAAGGTGCACCTAGCATAATGGTTATTTTTTATGCCCCCCCCCCCCCGCCCCGTCCCTGGGTGGGGGGGAAAGGGGGGGGGTGTACAAAGTCTGAAAATAAATTAATGCTTTGAAATCTGCTCTTTGGTGTTAATCAACCATTTTATGATAAAATTTGCAAAAATTTGAAATATGTGGGCCCAGGATCAGTGGTTCCTTTGGGATGATGTGCACAACTGGTTATAAAGTGGAAGTGCATTTTCTCTTAATGTTACTCTGATCTACCTCTGGGTATTAAGTAAATAGAGTAAGCATGCTAAGTCTATAATTATTATAAGCAATGGTACCTCTTTCAAAATTGTGAATTGCGAATTTCATGGCCTCTGGTTTAAAACACGAACCAAATTTAATTGTTTGAAAGTTGTTGCACAATACTCAGGTGACCTATAAGGCCCGTGGGCCTCTTGTTAAATCATGTACGGTTTAACGGAATTCATTAAATTTCTCAATATTCAACATGCAAATTTAGCAGCAATTAATTGATATACTTTTACATGGACTGTCAACTTTATCGAGTTCCTGAGAAGTCTCGATCAGAATTCATATCAAATATTTCCGAGAAAAACAAAAATGAGGACGAAAGATATTTTCCGAAACAGGTTCTACAGTTTTAAAAGAAAATTGTCAATTTAATACAATCGATATGTTGTTGTAACAAATATGCATATTTTATCAAAGGTCTATACATATAACAACTTCAGAGACCGTTTGTGTTAAAAGAAGGTGATTGCATATATTTATAACATATCACTGCTTTTTAAATAAACGCGCGGGAAATACAGTAAATTGTGTATCAAAGAACAGAATATAAAATTATATTTTCTGTTAAAATTCCTTTTTCATTTTAAGAGGGCTGGATGGTTGTATCTATTTTTAGACTATATTGGTTAGTAGAAGAGCTCCACATAAAGATATATTGTAAAACTTTAAAACTAAAATATATGAAATTTTTCTTTGCCAAATCATAGACTAGTTGACATATCAAATTGTTGACCCCCCCCCCCCCTCCCCCGCCTCAACAATCCGTGTTTATGTACAGCACTTAAAAAATCGATGTAAAATATTTTACTGTTGACATTTGTCACATTTTTAATGGTAAAATCTGAGTATACAATGGCCAAACATGTACGTATTAATTCTAGTTTTCATTACGGCGATATTTTCCCCCTTCAACTTACATGTCGGCCAACAAAAAGATGATGCTGTATTAATGCAACTAAATTCCACAACTCCCCCAAAAATGAAAAACATGTGTGTTGCATGAGTATTTTTAGTGCATGTTGTTTTGTAATTATAACATATTAAATGGAGCGATGTTGTAGGTCGTCTTAAAAACAACTTGTCTTATAAAATGTTACTGATCAAAAGTCGTAATCTGGTTTGCGTCCAAATTTCCAGTCACTGAAAGTTTCCTTTTTTTGACAGAGAACAGTATTGCGAATATTCGTGGGGAAAATAATTGTCAGATGTTCATATTACCATAATTCACTGCAGAATCTTTTGTAATAAAACGATGTGAGGATACATGCAGCAACAGATACGATCACTTAATTTGTGTTTTCCTCCTTTATCCTAGCCTCATCTCGGTTGTTAAAAGCTGGATTTTTTTAATAATTCAAAAGCGAGTGGCGTCGCGAACTAATTGTGTTCATCATCAAAAGAACTCACGTGTCAAAACTCATTACCTGACAAGCTTTCTTTTTGACTTTCTAAAACACGACTGAAAAATCGATGGTTGCTCAGGCATGGACTCACGTATTGATTTCAGGAACTCTCTGACATACAGGAACATCAGGATGCGTGTTTAACACAGTAGACGAACCAGAGGGTTCTAATAGAAGCGAGATCTGACATCCTTTGGACTTACGGTGATTATGGAGGATACTGGACCGGAAGCTTCGATCAGCTGTGTGCCAGGTGATCGGACAATCAGCTGTGTGGCTCAGGACTATCTGTGTATTGTCGACAGGGTGAACAGTAATCTACGTAAACTCAAATCGGAACTGGTAAGGTGTCTCTTCTAAACTTCGTTACATTTTCCATTGGATTTAAAAATATAAATGTTTCTGAGACCAAGATTTTAAAATTGAAAATCAATTGTCTCCCTCGTTTTCTCTATAAATTATAAAACATATATGTTTTAAGTGGTGATTTTATTTTTGTTTGTTGTTATTTGCGTATTGACAACTGTAAAGTATCACACAAAAATAATATCTGTAGCAATGGATATGGCAGTTTCGAATATTTTGCTTGTTAAGGGTAATAACCCCGATCGAAGAAAATTAAAATGTACCACAGGTACCTGACGTTACTTATTTTTCTTTTAATAAAAAATATACCCATACATTAGGTGTGGGTATATTCTTTTTTTATTAAAAGAAAAATAAGTAATGTCAAGTGTCTGTGAAATGTACCAATCAGAATTCCACTCTGAGGACTTCAGCACCGACTGGACATTACAAAACAAGACGATATATATAGTGTTTAAATTTTATTATAATTTAGAACCATTATAATGATATAATAGGAGCATTTTTTTCTTTTTAAAAGAAATATTTTCTGGAAACACACAATATACACGTTTAAAGGAGGTGCTAAAATTTTAAACGCTAAAGGACAAGATAAACTAAGAACCCTTTTTGGTCCCTGGTTTTAGGGGTCTTTTAGTTACGGAATAAATATATATATCTGGCGGCCGCCACATAAATTATTTTGCAAAAGGTGAGTGTTATGTATCTTTATTGGGTTAAGAAGATGGACGTTGACACAGTCGCTGCTTTGTATTTTCATATGGGGTTTACCTACAAAGAAATTTTGTGTTCTCTGGCAGCAAATCATCGAATTGTTGTCTACGAAGGGCGTTAAGTAGATTTGATTACGTACCGACTTCATGTCATACCCAATGAAACTCTAAAAATGATATTTTATTTCTTATATTTATATTTGACGTTTTTAGTCGTGTTAAGGAAATATAGGCATTATTTAGAATTTGCTTTGGAAATGCAAAATAACGTATCTACGACGTCATGTGACGTCACAATAGGAACTTTCCAAATGGCTCGTACAGTTTGCTTTTCATACTCAAGAAAGTCTGATCATGTGACCAACTGCATGTCATTGAAAATTGAATTTCAATTTTATTAGCATTGTTATATAAGGAAAGATATCAGCAAATGTAAATATTAGTTTAAGAACCGCCAAATTTTATGTAGCTGCCGCCAGATAAAATATTTTTCCTACGTGGCACCAACGGGCTTCCGTATTTAGTACTAGTCTAGGATGGAACATACAGTTTATCTATAGAAAATCACATGTCACAAATGAGTATTGGTTCTTTGTTAAAGAATACACAGAGGTCACAAGAACATCAGGAAATATGTCAATTTCTGTAATTTCTCCTTTTCATGCAATTTTCATAGATGTTATGACATATTTTGTTTCGGAAAATATAGCAGGCTGTATAGCACAAGCTTGCCTATCTACCAAATTTATTTATTTAATATACAAGTATCAGATGCATCTCAGATAGGCAGGCTTGTGCTCTACGTATCCCGGAGAAAAAATATCTCAAAATTGACGATATTCCAGCAAAATTGAGAATTTCCCAATTCCACGCCCTCTTGTGGCCTCAGTCTAAGCTTTGAATCAAAATTAGGGTTGTATATTAAAAAGGCATCATTTTAAGTTCTTAAGGTCAAGATCTAGTAAATAACTTGAGACTAATTTTTTGGTGCTAGGTCCATTATGACGTCATAATCAATTTCAAATTTCTTTTTCCCGTACTTTACGGCTTTAGCAGAATTATGTAGTAAATAGGGTATTTTCATGTCATTCAATTTGAAATCATATGAAAAGTAAACCGGATACCTATATTAAATTTGATATTGATTTAAAGAAGAGGCCATGAACATACTAATTACTGTTTTCTGAGAGACTGTAGGCAATCTGGATACATTTCCTTTGCCGAATATGAAAAAAACTCCCATATTCATGACTGGTTTTCTTAATTTTTCATTGAAAATGACAGTTTAAAATACAGATTTTCATCTTGTTTACCTACAAATTATGCCCCGAAACACCTTTTTTGACCAAGCTAAAGTTGTAAAGTATCAATAAAGGAATTTATTTCTCAAGTTTGATAAATCTGTAGGCACCTTTCATTTACTAGATCTTGACCTGAAATCCTCAGTATTTTCTATTTCTGTAGAGCTTTCTCACTCTCAGTCTGAGGAGGATGTCGCTTATAAATACTACCTTAAGCCTCATACTAGTCTGCTTGATTTTAAAACAGATCGATTGTTGCACAGACTACCAGTACATGCGTAATGAGAACTTAATTAAGTCCGCTCTCTTGTTATTAATAATCATTCAGATACTTAATCAAGCATAGTTTGTTTGAATTGTATTTAATAAAGTAGGAATATGCTCTTTGCCTTTATATTTTCAACAACTGAATGAGTGCTTTTTAATGCCCCTTACTCGAAGATTTAAGGGTATATATAGTTTTTGCTCTGTCCGTCAGTCTGTCCGTCCTCTGTCTGTTTGTTTGTTCGCAAAAATTTTAACTTTGCCCATAACCTTTGAGTTAGTTGGGCTTTGGCTTTTATTTTTCGCAGGTGTACTTATTCATTGTAACAAGACCTTTCAGCTGGTGTACATGTTAATAAAAAATTTTCGACATTAGATTTTGATCCACCATTAAAAGCTTCAACCTTGGTAAATATCTTTTGAACAGTTAAAACTAGGGCTATTTCTCAGGTGTATTCCTTGTGCTAAGACTTTTCTTTGGGTACCACCAACTTTGACTTTTTGACCTTTAAAGGTACTGGTGTACATAATATTACTTATATATAATAGCATTTCACATAAAAAAATTAAAAATCTTATTTCGTTTAAAAGATATCGAAATTTCAAATTTTTCGGCGGGTTTGATTGACATATCGTTGCACTCTCACAAATTTAATTTAAAAACTTAATCCATGGAAAAGTATCGTTTTGTATAAATTAGTATAAAAACTTCAAAAGCAAAACAAACACACAATATATTTTCGTGCAGTCGTGTATTCCTTGTAAATATAAACTACAGAACTTGAGCCCTTTTACAAAAACTGTGTACATAACACGAGTGTTGATTTGCTAAACTCTGACGCATCTCTTACATGTTTGAAGTTTGAAGGTGTTTTGCTTTCTAACATTTCTACTCTGAATAAAATTATTTTTCTAGATTTAAGTTTTAATATTTCTCATTAAAACACATCAAAATTGCCACTTTTCCTAAAGATTAAGAATAAAGTTAAAATTTGTGAAAGTGCAAGAATGTGTCAATCAAACCCGCCAAAAAATTTAAAGTTTTAATAACTTTTAAACGAAATAAGATTTTTAATTAATTTTTGTGTGAAATGCTATTAAAATATATGTTTCGTGATGTTATACAGAAAAAATGAGAAAATATTAACTTAAAATCTGTGTCCAATTTTATGATTTTATTTACAATAAAAATTTACTTATTTACATAATTATATAAATATGATTTTAGGCTGCCCTTCGACAGCAAGACGTGAAACTTTTAAAACAGCTGATACAGATCAGCGAAGTTATTCAAGCATTTTACCAGAAAGTTACCAAAGACAATAAATTATCCACGGACATTAGCCCTGATAGTGGGGTAGATGTGCCCGTGACTGACGTCACGCAGGTACGCAGTATGCCATTGGTTAGACAACAGAGCGTGCCATATTACTGTAGGATTAATCCGTCCGCCGGAAGTCTGCTCAGCAGCGCCACTTCCAGTTTTGATGGTATGTAGGTTGAGTAGATTTTATAGTTTGCATCACAGCATGACAAAATTAAAATTGATCAGCACATCGTATTCAGAATATCTCTATATGTATTGAATTGATTTTTCGTACAGTCTAACAAGATGACGCATCTTTTATCTTTCTGAAGTCGTGCTTGAATGAAGTTTTACTCCATGTTCGTTTGCAGAAAGGAACGATTCATCAGACTAATAGAAAAGTGTGGCTTTATGTAATGAAATGTGAAGAATATGTTAAAGAACAGTATGCATGTTAAAAAGTCTAAATCAGAAGGAGAACAAATACTGATCTCTATAACCTCAAAGGTGGGATCAGGTGCCTTGAGAAGTGTACACTAGAGTATCCCCTGCCGACTGCTTACTCCTACTTGTCATGATAAGGGGGGCATTTAAAAAGTTCATATATTATTATTATGGTCAAACAATGTCGTTATTTATCGACCATGCAAATTACTTTAAACAACCAATGCAGGCATCCATTTTTTGTTTGTATCATCTGTCCTTAATCGCGTTATTTTTTTTTTAACCCTGCAGTTGGTACTTAGAAAAAAAAATCATTTTTTGTAAAGTGTAAGGGGTCATTATTTTATATGTTATTATAAAAAATACTTCTATTTTTGAAAGATATTTAAAGTGAAAAGAGATTCTTTAATTGTCAGTAATAAAACGATAGTCTCTTCTAGTGAGCTTAAAGAATGATATTCCACTTGTTTTTAGAAATCAAACCATGCAACAATCGGTTCTAATACTCTTTAATAGAAAAATTAATTTTTCCTTCATTTCAACTTTTAGCTTGTATAAGTTTGGCAAATCCTTTTTGACGAAATTTTTACCCCCCCCCCCCAAAAAAAAAGAAAAGAAAATTACGTTAAATAATAATAATAATAATAATAATAATAATAATAATAATAATAATAATAAATGAAAAGCAAAAATATAAATAAAACTCTGTACCTTTCAATAATCGCTAGATAAAATATTGAAATGCGCCTTCACACAAGTTCTATCATATCATAATTTACTTCGCCATGATTAAAGCATATTTCTCTCTCAGTTGAAAATTATAGAATAGTTGATTATTTTAAGCTTATTTTTAGTCCCTTCTTATAGAAAAATAAAGGTAGGGTTTTTTGTTGCTTTTGTTGATAATCGACTTAATCCGAAATACACCTAAAAATATGCTCAGTAAAGCTATGGGCTAGTGTAAAATGCACATTCTCATGCAAAAACTATACAAAACCTTTTGATTTAGCACACAGTATTCATTACATTTCTTAATTCCTTTTTTACTCCACACTTTTACCCAGTTCTGAGTATATTTTTCAGAGAATTTAATATGAAAATGTACAAACCTAGCTTTATAGTTATTAATATTATTGTTGAAAATTCTTTTTATGTCCAACTGTAATAGTGATTCGGGGGTATATAGTTTTCTGATGAACATAAAGGAAATCTTTATGGATTGCCAATTTACTAAACCAATACCATACTGATGTTTCACGTGTTTCATCATAAAACAACCATGAACTTAAAAGCCTTCTTTTTTCCATCATAAATAACACATGCCAGCCAATAATTACACTTTCACGTAATGACTGGTATATTAATGATAGGAAATTAGGTATAAAACAATCTTTATTGCAAACAAAGAAAGGCGAATTTTATATTATGTATTTTTAACATTAAAGAAAGTATCATCAAATAACTTGGCAACGATTCGTCGCTGTATCCATGGTGGAAGTCGGTGAGCTAACGGCCACTGAAAAGCTTGCATTGCCTCAGAAACGTTGGAAGATTCAAAGTCATGCAGTCTGAAATGAAAATATCAAAGTAGAAGAGAAATAACTCCTATATCGGGTTTTATTTTATAATTTACCAGCTGCATTTCAATAATCGGATTACAGTGACTTTCACTTTGAATTTTGAATTCAGCGAAATATGTAATAAAAGTCACGCACCTTTTTATGATTATCATAAAACGGGATTTTTTTTTTTTTTTTAGACTTTATCCACAGGCACCTGACGTTACTTATTTTTCTTTTAATAAAAAAATATACACATATCTAATAATTATTATTAGGTATGAGTATCAATTTACTCCAAATAAGCTCAGGTGAGCATTTTGGCCAATATGCTTCTTTATTTAATTTTTTTTTGGCCCCTAAAAATGCTTTAATTCACAGGGAGTCATATTTTTTTTCTTTAAAAGAAGAATAAGTAACGTCAGGTGCCCATGACTTTATCATTAAAAAATATTTGATCGATCGTTTACTGTCTTAAACTTTATATCAGGCAGAAGCATGTATTTGAAACAAAAATTGATCTAAATGTTTATTGGTATACACATATCTAGTATAACAGCTATATTAAAATTTGCTGTTTGTTCTTTTTTTCTTCACGTTTGTTCTTTTTTTTTATTATTCCCACAAAGAATGTATACTTTCTTAACTTATAAAAATATATGATTTTTTTAATACCCTACACAAGTACTAGTACAAAAAAATTAAGGAAGAAAGTCATAAATATAAAATACAATATGTGTATACTTACTTGACTGGCCTAGAGTTTTCTCTGATTTTTCGGATGATATTCTGGCTGTTAGGGCCAGTCTCAAATTGGACCAGTCTGTAGTCCAGTCTTGACCTGGTCAGTGGTGTGAGTTTCTCCTGGTAGTTTATCACGCCCCTCCCCCCGTTTAAGGCCTTATTGATATTGAAATCCCACAGACAGCGCTGACGTATCGTATCCGAGATGTTCTTATTGTACATGGAAAATTGCTGACTATTTGATGTAAGGAATCTACTTTCTGTGCTGAAATCTGTAACGGGCAGAACCTATAAATAAACATATTTTAATAGAAATTTTATTTTTTGAATGAAAAAAAGAAAAGTATTAAGTACTGAACGTATATATATTTAGTTTTTTTAATCATATGTATAATTTATTGTGAATAATCTATAACTTGCATTTTAATATATCTTAATTCAATCATTTCAGTCATGTAAATTAAAAAAAAAAAACAAGACATGCATACACGTGTACACAAACGATAAAGAATTTTAAAAGAAGATAAATATGTAAATTCAAAAACATACATTTCAACATTCACCATTTTTTAAATCGAAAAAGAGGTACAAATTTGGTCTATTGATATATTTAAGAATTCATTAACAGGTATGTAGCATCGTTTTTGAAAGTAGGGGGGGACCAGAGAAATTTTTTTACTTACCTGTAAAAGTAGACAAGCAAAAATAAAAAAAAAGATGAAAATGCCCACACCTTTTTTGCATACAATACTACATTTCCTTCATATTTACTATACTGTGGTAGGAAGTGGGGGGGGGGGGGCACCACCCCTTCAATGGACATTTTCAATAGTAAAGGTAATGTTTGGGGAAAAAGTGTTGCTACGTGCCTGATTAAGAAACAGATTCTTCAATAAACAGTTTTGAATCTTTGGTAATTACCGACGTACTGGCATATAATTTGCATATTATTATAGTTTTTTAAGTAAAAAAAATCTTATATAGACAAACAAACGAGGAAACAACTTTAAGAGAAACTAAATAATTTATGATATATGCCTGTTTGTTGTTGGTTTATACCTCTACTGTTGTTTCGGAATGCCTCATGATCGGGGGGAGTGGTACGGAGAATCGGCTATCTGGACCATAATCCCGGCAGTAGGAGGAGATTCTCTCTCGAGGATCGTTACCAAAACAAACATGCGTCTTTCTAAGCTTTTCTTTGTTTTCCAACCCATTCGACGCCATTCCACTTGATTTAATGTTATTGTTACGTCATAATGGTAGTTTATATATTATTACGTCATAGTTTTTGTGGCGTCATGTCATTGTGAGTTAAATTCTATTTACAAAGATACTGGCATGCCTGAATCGCTTTTGGAAGAAAGAAGTGTACAATTTCTGAACTTGCAAATAGTGTATAAACACTGATGTTTTAGGGTGTGACCGTTGGGGCAAGCGCAGTTTGTAACATTATTCTGTCACTGTGAAATTCAAGTCGAACGAGACAAGTAATATATACTCGATTCTGATTATATCGCGGGTTTCATTGTATCGCGGTATATCGCAAAAATTCGGATACATAGCCTACATTGGTTTTGTTGGTGGACAATCTGTATGTTGTCTGAATGTTTATTTATTTATTTTTGTTTGTTGATTAAGAAGTATGGAACATCTGTTTGAAAAAAATATTTTAAAAAAACGTAATTTTACAGATTTCCAGTCCCGTTTTTATTATATTTAGACCATTAAATTTATAACCTATTAAAAATTATAATAAAGTTCATCCTTTCAAAGTTTAAATTTGTACAATTGTTTATTTTTCATGTAGAATTACATTGTAAATTCAAAAATAAAATTGAGATCCATGTCATCTACAAGTTTCCATGTTTTCCCATGTCGCGATACAATGTGACTCTCCAATTTAGAAGATAAAAATAAGACTTCCTGTTTTAAAAATAGACCACAATTTAAACGATGCAAGATTGGAAAATAATTTGGTACTAAAACCTAGGCCACAGTTAGAATTATAAATATCATTTAATATATATTGTAAGTTAAATAAAAAATTTGAAATTACACTTTTTATGCAAAAGAACTAAGTACCGCGTTATAATGAGACACCAGTATACACTGTGACGTCACACGACATAACGGAGCTCGCTAGAGTTTACGGATCGAGACAGTCTTGAAAGTGTGTCGGGTTGAACTACATCGTACATGTATAGGCTGAGTAAAATCTGAACGAAAGACATTGTAGAATATTTCTGTCTAATATAAAAGTTTTCTACAATCTGAAAACATTTTATATTTCATATTATTTATTTATTTGCCATTATCGCATGGTATCCTGGTAGCAGCTAGAGGAATTCTGGAAGGTATACGTATATCAACCTCTTACCAGAGGGTGTCATGCGCTCCGCTCAAACACCTCTCAAACAAAAGTGAATGATTTATTCTCGCCAAC